CGTAGAGTCGTAGTGACGTCCTGGTGTCGAACAACAAAGTAAGTGACACGTGTCGAGCTCCCAAGTGTCATCGCATACTATACAGTCCTGAAGTGCGTCCGACTCGGTTATTGCGATACCGATCTCCCCCTGTTCTAGAAACGGGGTCAGGGCGGCGAAAAGGGCCTTGAGGACGCAAAGGAGGAGCTGGGGAGATGGACGGGGAGCCAGGGCCGCGGGCCGCCCCCGCAGCCACTCCAGCGCTGGGGGTTGCGGGTTGCCACAACACGGGGCGACCGAGTTCCATGACCCGCGAGGTGAGCGGTAAGGGTGACCGCAGCCGCACGATCACACATCACACCCGCACACACACGCAGGCGCGCCCGCGTGCGGCACGGAGGGGACCTGAGACCTGAGCGCCAAAGTGTACCGACAGGTCGATTTTCACCTCACGCGCCTTTCGCGAGCACCGTTGCGTGCAGAAGGGCCTCGTCGCAGGCCGCACGCAACAGGCCGCGTCACCGCCGGTCCGGTCACCGCACCGCCGGCACCCGGCGAGCAACCGAGGGGACGGGGACGGACGTGACCACCTCCGGGAGCGCCATGGCGGGCCCAGAGGCGGGCCTCCGCCGTGCAGCCCTGGTGCGGGCGCGAGGGGAGGCTACCGGCGCTACCAGCTACCTGAGCTTCCTCTCCTCCTGGAGCTGGAGAAGCACCCAGCGGGGTAGTGGCAGTTTCCACCACCAGGTAGCTGTGGCTGAGAGAAAGAAAGAGAGGGGGGGGGGCGGACGGACGGACAGGGGCGGACGGACGGACAGAGGCAGACGGACGGACGGACGGACGTCTCCCGCCATCAGCAAATCTGCGGTCAACTCTGACGAGGGGAAAATTACCGGGGAACGCCCATAAGCGACCAAGATCAAAAGTGGAACAGCTGGAGGGTGGCGATCGTGCGTAGCCGCTTCTTAGACGCTGTAAGCTGTACGTAAGCCACAGAACATTTTAGTGGACGTCGACAGTCACTGCGAGCGGATGCGGGGAGGCTCTTCCAACTTTACAGTGAATGTATACAGACTTGCGATCGCGAAGCACCCCAAAGAGACGATAGTTTAGTACTTCGGCTGAAGGAGCTCGAAGAATGATGTGTCGAGCCTAAACGCCCACTACCGACGCGACATACAGGCGGGAAGCTCGCAACCAATCCGTAACGTCTACCGAAGCGCACTAGAAGAGTATGACAGGTATAAGGCACATGTCGGTCATTTGGATAATAAAGACCCCCTCCGTGCACCCCATCTCGCAGACTTATGCCCGGAGCCCGCCCTCCACCTTGCCACCCTCCCTAGACCTCTAACCCATCCCTGCTCGACCACCATCAAGTTTTACTAGAATACCGATAGTTCACCAGGCGTGGTAGAAGGGGGAGGGTCGACCCCCCCCCCCCCTCCCCTCCATCGTCTCTAGTGAGCCGCCTGAAAGGTAGTCAATTTGTGCCACAAAACTCCTGTATGTAGGCAACCCACAGTGCATCGCCACCCTTGTCAACCGGTCCTTGCGCCTGTCCTGTAGTTCACACAGGCAGCAGGTGGGGTCAACTGGTCAACTCACGACCATAGACAGAGGGTGGTTCGATCACCATCCCTCCATCCCTCCCCTCACCTACCCTCACTCTGTTCAGAAGGCACCTGCCGGCTACCTAATGATGAGCCTCCAGCGAGGGTGTCCATGACCCGGCTAGGCAAAACCATTCCCAGCTGGTAACAGCGCGAACAAGGTTGCGAGCGCCCGTAGGCTGTGCGAATTCAAGCACATCACGTAGGACCTTTCATGTACAGCTAAAAATAGCAATAAAGTGGGTAAAATTTATACAAAATCTGAAAATGCGGGGGTGGGGCTGTGGATTAGAAACTGAAAGTGAACGTGCAAGTGTGGCGAGAGAACTGGAGGGTCTGAGGGGTCACCGCAGGTCATGCGGCAGCGGGGCGTAAGGTGGCGTAAACAAAAGGATGAGGGGCGCCGCGCTAGGGCCGCGCTTGCCGAAGGTTATGCCACAGTAAAGGGCGAGAAACTAGGTTGGCATTCGCACCGGGGTGGCGAGCAGCACGGGGCAGCCAGCACCGCGACTGCCGCGACGAAACACCGGGCCGAACATCACAACAACTTACCGAAATCCATGAACTGCTTTATGGACAGCGGCGAGGGGTTAAATTGTGAATAAAAGTCCAGCATTTTTGACAAATTACGGAGAAACTGTGTCGGCCTCATTGTGGCGGGTGCAGGCGAGCGCCCGACTGCTGCGAGCTGCGGGCGGGTGTCGTCTGAAGCGAAGTTGTCCCGGGCGAACAAGTAGCAGACTAAGAAACTTCACTTAGGTGCTCGGTACCCATCGGTGATGTGACTACTCCTGCTCGTAAGTCTCACGTCCATTGATTAAAAGTGTGCGCCTTGTATCTTGTTAGGAAGAACTGTTGTTTGTTTAAGGGCAAAAACAAAAGACGAATGCGGCTTTACGACAAGGCTACGACTGTCGGCTGCTCAAATGGCTCAAGCTGAAAACCAAATAAAACTCTGCACTCTTATCAAAGTATCAACTTTTTTGCAGATACATGAATTCAAACTGTAAAAAAGTTTAACAAATTTTGAATTGATTCGTTTACCCTGTCATTTGTTTAAAAAATGCAATTTTTCCACTCCTTAACTCCATTCATTCGTCTGATCTTCACCCATGACAGATTTTTTACCATTTACCTAATGAACATCGACGATGTTTTCTTTCAATTACAACTAATAATTTTAAGAAAATCGAATGTTGCACATAAAAGTAAGCAGAGAGAGGAAACTTTTCTAACTTTTTACACCATAACAAGATTTTGGTGATCAAAATGGTGCGCCGTCATTGATATGAGCATGAGCCCAGCAGTTTCCGGCGCGGTTGGTTTCCGGGCTGTTGTTGGAGGTGGTACACATGACGACTACTGCTTGCAAAATTTACTTTTATTGCTCAATTTGCTTAATTATTTCCTATTTCTATTATTGCTGAATCAGACCCTTTAAAGCCCTTTCCATCGAAATGGCTGATCTCGACGATTTCTTCGCCAAAAAGGACCGTAAGAAGGGAACGAAAGGAGGGAAGAAGTTCACGACGACCGAAGAATTAGCCAAAAAATTGGAGGAAACTCACAGAAGGGAGAAGGAACGAGTGAAAGAAAAGAAACTTCTTTCTTCTCAAAATGTCGATGGTGATGGTGAACATAGAGGCGAGCGAAAGGTATGGCAATTTGAAACAGTGAGCCATATGGACTTGATCCATCGGCCATATTGAATCATGTCACTCATTTTCATTTTTTAAATCTATTATTTTCTTTAACTGTCGTAATTTTGAGCGCTCACATGTATTTGCATTGCGGTAATTAATTAACATAGTATTTATACACCTCAAACTGTTTATGTTGGTACATTTTTTATGACCTGTAAAAGCAAGGTTATAGTGAACCTCAGCCATCCTGTGCCATTTGTCAATTTTCCTTGACTGTCTAAATTTGCCCTTCATGTTTCTGAAGATTGATTCATTGCGCGTTGTCAATACTTAACGTAATGCTGTGTGATTCACCTACATTATGATTTTTTTGATACCAATTATCAACTCAATCTAAATGTCAGTTATGACAGCCATTCATTCATACATTATGATTTTGCCATCCCAATCTTTTTCTTGCTACTTCTCTGACACTAATTACTCTTTATCTTTTGCATGTAGGAAGAGGAGGAATGGAAAGACTATGAGGAAGAGAAAAAGGACTATACCAACTTGAAAATTCAGAATCTTCAAATCACTGAGACTCCTACCGGGGAGGATGCCGAAGGAGAAGATGGAGAACCAATCATGGAAGAAAATGAAGCAGGTGAGATGGTTCCTCGCAAGAAGCAGCCAACTGGACCATGGAATGCTCAGCAGCAACCCCAGCAGCAGCAGCAACACCAGCACCAGGAGCAGGAACCTGTGAGGGGTGAGTGTCTTTAGATAGTATTTGATTAGTACACCCAATCATCACATCTGGCTATTTCTATATCTATTTTTTTTTTTTCAGCAGAAGTTGTCAGGCCACCACCACCAGCACCGTCAGAAAGTGGAGATGGTGGTGGTAGCTCTGGAGCTGGAGGCTACGTGCCACCTCACATGCGAGGAGGCAATCAATCTTCCAATAGCTATTCCCCTTCATCCAGCTACTCTTCATCTGGCTACTCTTCATCCGGCTACTCTTCATCGATGCCTTTATCAAGTGAGTGTGACATATTCTCTTCTGTGCATTTGATTTTATCATTAATTTTGATGACTAATGAACTCTTTGCTTCAGATTCACGCCTAAGAAGTAGAGCTGCTCCAGACATAACCAACGAAGCTTACTTTCCTACATTGTCAGCTGCCAACAGTGCTGAGCCAAACAATGTGTGGGGGAGGAGGTAAGAGATTTTATAATTCTTAGGCTTGCACTAGTTGTAACATGACCACTGTTTTATGAACTTTGAAAACATAAAACCTTTTTATGCAGTTTTAGCAGCTGATAAATTTGTAACATTTTATTTTTCAGACGAGAGGAGGGCAGAGGATTTGAAGAAGTGAGGAACAGCAGAACACACACAGCTACTTATAATCCGAAGATGGCTCCATCAGGTCAAGGACCTAATCTGTCCCTTGGAAATAAGTGGGATGCCTTGAGGGACCAGAGCTACCAGAGCTGAGGTCAACATTATGCCTAACACAGAGCCAAGTGTCGATGCTCCTCCATCAAATTAATCTGGCTGCTGTGGTGTAATCTGTGTCAGTGCTGATCGGCTCAAGACTCATGTGAAATAAGTGATAACTAAGAGAAACCTAAGTGATTGCAAAACACAACCCGGCAACTGACCGCCTGCCTCAGTGTAACTTTTTAGGATAGGTTCTGTGTACTTTCTGTGGGTGTGAGTGTGTTTGTGTGGTATGGGCCAATCACCTGTGCCATTCACTGACCTATTCTTCACCTCTTGGGTATTGTATGATATATGTCTGAAACTAGTGTGCTTCTGTCTATATCATTTATTTTTTGATGAATGTACAGATATGTGGCACAAATTAGTCTTGTACTAAAATTTACAGAATTTGAACGACATGTGTTGAACATTCAGATAAAAAACTTGCATTTTTAATAATTTTTTTAATTTAATAAATTCATTTTGTGAAAGTCAACATGGCCTCTGGTGAACCCACTTTTACATAAGCCAAGCCTGAGCTGTGAAAGTGAGGATAAGTTAATAATTTATGGAAAAAAATAGAGACTCTAAGATGCAGTGTAACTGCTAGTAGGCTGTGGTTATCCTCACCACTGCTTACACATTTTTTTTAAATCTTTCTCTTTTTTTTGTAATACGGTATTATTGACTGGTGCTGCCAAGTCCTTTATTACAAGTGCGCCAAATAAGCCACAGTATATTATTGTTATTTTTGAAGGCCCCAAATGTTATATTTACATTACAAAAGTTGTCATTTCATAATTAAGGACTAGGGTGTTGATTGTGTCAGTTACCCATGTCTAATTTATAGATCATTATTTTCGGTGTGTAGCTTTGTGCGGTAAAGAGATGGCATTGGTAGTGAATCCAGACTTGAGTGGCAAAATAAAGAAGTTGGTTCTTGGTTAAGTTTGATCCATTGGTACATTCCTGTCAACATTTTCACCTTGCTTTCAGAGCTGATTTTTCGCAAGAAATTTTTGGTCGGGGCAACAGAAACAAAAGGGGTTGGTTGGTTCTTTATATATTTTAATATTTTTTTTTACATTTTATAAATTTATATTACTTTTTATTTAGCATTTTGTACATTTATGTACTTTGGACTAGGAACTGAAATATTTGTTGGCGCTTATCCAATCAGATGTACAATCAATTTTACAGTGGCGCTAAACATTAAAAAAAATTTGCTAGTTTTCCAATCAACGGCACAAAACATAAGCAGCCACAGGGACGGAACAAAAACGTAGTAAAGAAAGAACGAACCTAAAGCATAATTTTGATTAGACAGCATATAAAAACATGATTTGATCTCAAAACAGGTGCACATTCAAAAAACAAAGTAAAAGTTTATAACAGACACCAAGTGCAATAATACTTCTGAGAATGCCCAACACTTGGGAGCTATGTATTAAAGAATATTTGCAGAACACTGCCCACTGAGAAAGTATCACATGAAACAATAGAAATTGTGCTAAATCCATCCCAGCTAATTTGCATTTTCATTAAGTAATCAAAAGGACACATAAGAAAATTGAGATGACACTTGCATACAACTCTTCACTGTAACTATCAGTGTTACCAGGTGTTACAAAACACCATTTAGGCAGTTGAGAATTCCATCAGAAATTTAGGGAGATTCCAGACTGAAAAATTTTGTGGGTTCCGCTTTCATATAAAGGGGTAGTAAATCTATCATGCATCACCAAACCACAACTAGAGTGGCATAATACAGCAAAACATGAAAGGCATTTCTTAATCACTGGTTTATTTTACTGAAATGTTATTCCCAAATAAATTAAATCAACGAAGTATAATTTAAATTCTCTCAATTCCAGACTAATATCAGTTCCAGAGAGATGATTTTGGAGCCAGCAAGTTATGCCCTTCAGGTTGAAATGATTTATCTTACCAGAGATAACAAGTAACCTAGAGTCAATAAAATGAGGTTAAGTACGAATAAATACTCAGACTTCTTTCACTATCAGTTTAGAGCCAAAACACTGTTGGATATAGTATCAAATTATTGCAAAATTGTCATAAATTCTGACAATTTCTTACAAGCCTAAATTCATGAAAGCTCAATCTAGAAGGAAAGCTTCAGATAATAATTCAAACCAGAAAATTGGGCTAACACAGCACAACAATGCAGAAAACCACAAGAAAACACATTTCCACAAGCTTTGTTCACATCTGAAGCAGTCCTAAAATCACAAATCTGACAAGCAATTTGTACAGAAGTCTATGTTTTTGAGATGAACATTTATCTTCCCCATCCCCTCTATTATTGCCAACACTTCATTGTTAAAAATCCCTAACACAATATTTTTATAAGCACGCTCACTACAAATGCCCCCAAAATTATGGTAATAAATATGATTGATACTGGCTTGAGGTAAATATCTAACACACCCTGTAACACGACAAACTATTTCTGATTGAAGAAGAAGAAGAATAGAGAAAACGCTTAAGTCGGATTTGAGCACAATCAAGAAAAGGTCATCAGAAGGGAATCTTAAATAAATATGAGCACTGAAATATACCCCCCTCAGATATTCTCCTTGTGTCCAAATTCAAAATATATCTTCAAAAGTAGATTGAGTATGCCATGTAGACCAGATAAAAAAATTTAACAACTATGCAGTACATCTGTGATGTAAAATATTACACCAGCAGGGAAGAAAGAGATACAACAAATACAGCTCATCAGCAGGTAAGAGTACGAAAGCCATGAGCAGCTAAATTAAGCTGGAAAACAACTGGAAGAGAAAGTGATTTAGTTCCTAATACCAACAGAGCGAGATTTTTCCCACAGCTCCAATATATTGGATTAGGATACAACATTCACATACAGGAATTTTACTCAAAATGCATCCTGAGGTCTGTTAAAAAGATAGAAATTCTAGGACAACTACATTAAACTAAAACGTTCTAAAAATTATCACATTTTAGCAGAACACATGTCATTTACATATCATTTCCTTGAAAAGTCAATTAATGACCACTTAGTGAGATGATAGCCAAGGGTCAACTGCACGTAAACTTGGAAAACAAGTTAATTTAGGAACAGCAGTGACTGCAACAATTTTTATAACAAAGCATAGGAAAAATATGTCTCCCATAAATGATAAAATCTGCATAGAAAAGATAAGTAGTTAAAAACATACCAGCTCTGACCTCCAAAATTCAACAGTGTAATATGGCTACAAAGAAAAATAGGAAACAGGTAACCACAGTGTAACAAAGGTGCCCTCATATTTCAGCAGACACACAATTTACCCTCTTTGGTTGTCTATTGTACAAAATTTACAAGGTAAGCAACACCATTAACCTTTCTGTCCATGTTATTTGCAGTAGCAAATATGCCAATCCCACAGAAAAAAAAATGGTATTAAGTCAAGAGGTAACATTGTGCACACACAACTGTATATGTTAAGAGGGATTCTATCATTTCAAAAATTTGTACCACATTGGAACATTTCCTAACACTCAGATAATCTCTCCTAAATATAATTAGCTTAAATTACATAGAGACTTTTTTTTCTACTCAATGTGAGCATTTATACAAACATCAAATATGGAATCACAGAAACTTGCAACCCCTGTTTTGAATGTTACAACACTCCCTATTCAGTCCCAAAATCCTTTCATGTGTGTATGTGTGAAAAAGACATGAAAGTGCTAGCGTCAGTACAACACCAAATGAGACTAGACCAACGCCTTTGACTATAAGATAAAAGGAGTTAAAATTGAAATGCCACACAATCATTAGTTAAACACACAAAAATGGAATTGAACAAAGGAATTAAGCAAATTTTGAAAGTCTCATGTATGATGGAGAGGGATTGCACCAACCTCTCAGGAAATCCAGACAAAAGACAATGTAGGGAATTGCCATGAGCAAATAGTAGGAGCCACTGAATAGCAGGTGCTACAAGGGACTTTGTCTCCAATCAGTGTCTTGCTTCAAATAACATGAAAGTCTACAAAAATGGTAGGAAACATCACCGAAACAAAGACACATTATTTCCCTAAATCACACAAGTATGTTTAACATCAAACATTTGTTATCTAGATAGCACGAGTGTCACAAATTGATAGGCTCCGTTTCCCTACTTTTTCGTCGTTTCCGACTGCTGAAGGTTCTGCCGCGGCCACCATGTCCATTGCCACCACCTCGGCCTGGCCGTTGGTGCATGCCCCCTCGTCCATTTTGGGCTCCTAACAAACAATAAATGCAAATCAGATACCTAATTTACTAGACTAATAGTGGATTCAGTCGGGTCATGCTATCACATTTTAAGCTCTAGTTTCGACCTGAGTGTCACCTGTTCCCCATTTTATCATGACTTAAGACTAAAATTTACATCCTATAGTATAAAATATTTAACATAATTATAAAAAAGCTTCAAGAGTGTTTTCCCCGTATCTGAGAAAAATGTTAAGAGACTGGAACATTCTGAACAGGTAGAACTCACAGCTCTGGTTACCAATCACGGGATGAAGCTCGGTAGTAGTTGCGTAGCCTTCCAGTTCCTTTACCTTGGGTCCCGTTGTCAACGAAGCGACGATGTTTGTTATTGGTTGGCATACCACCACGTCCTGCGCGGTGGTAGTATGAGTTGTTGAGCCATGGAGCATTATTTGCGTTAGAAATTCCATTGATACCACTATCCCCTCTGGAGGAGGAGGAGTCCTAGGTAAAGAAAAGCAGAATAGATATACATAGATAGGAAAGTTATTGATTTAAGGGGCTTAATTCTGATTCATCACGACTAATAGCACAGATTAAGATTAAACCAGTATAATCTTACCGAGTCTGATCCAGGAGCACTGGAATCTGGGCTAGTATCAGGCTCCTCTTCATTTTCTCCATCAGAAGAACCACTACCATTTAACATGAGTTCAGGATTTTTAGAAAAAGGAAATTCCTGTTTGACCCATTGCCGGTACTCAATAACACTATCTGTGACTCTTATAATTCTTCCCAATATACTGAAACCAACATAAAATAAAGACATAACATTATGATACTGGCATACTAAAAATGAGGTGAAACTGACTAGTAATTACCTGACTTTGTTAGGGTCATATAAGAGAGTATTTAAAGGGTTCACGGCTTGAGTTAGCACAATATAGGCATACTCAAAGGCTTGTTTAACATACAGTGCCCCATGAGAGCTTCGTCCAATGTCATTGGTGATGTTAAGCGGATCTTCAATACACAATAAGGAGGGTCGATAACCATCTTTCATATTTTTTTGAACCTAAATTGGAATAACACGGCAAGGTAAAGACAGGCTTTTGAAACTTGTTAAACTTATGAGGGCTGCATGCAAAGTACCTCCTCTTTAGATATGTAGCTGCCACCCTCACTGACTCTGATGGCAGTTTTCATGTAATTGAACTTTTTCCCATAGAGCTCCAAAAATTCTATTAATAGGATACCCAAGTTTGCACCGGGCGTAAGAGCTGTTTGTCTTGGGTGGAGCTGGAAATTTAGTCAAATCATTACAGCTGAAGAAGGATAAGACATAAAATTATTACAAGAATATGATCAGCACCCTACCTGCAAAAAGCTGATTGTCATTAAAATAAGACTGTAGGAAGATATTCCACCAGTGAATACCTCATTTAAGTCTCTCTGAAGGAGAAACTGCTTTAGGACCAGCACCAGACTATATAAGACAGGATATCTTTGCTTGAACTTCTTTATCAGTTCAGCAGATTTCACTCCATTACTCATATTGAAACTCACATCCACTCTTATCTCTGATAAGCGATCAGTAAATTTCACAATTGGCACCTAAAGATAAAAATACAAATGAGGACCACAAAAATTTATTTCAACTGCATGACATGAATGTTCAATGACCACCAATCTCACCGAAGCTTTATCTAAAACCTTGACTGAACCAGGTTCAGCTAAATTGTGCTGATAAATGGCTTGTTCCAATGTTCTTAAGGGAAGCCTCTCCTGGCTCTGAACATTCCACTTTCCTATCACTACCAAATCTATATCACTAGATAAATAAATAATAAATAAAATAGAGGAGAAACAAAAATGTCAGATGTGGTGCTACTCAAACACTGATAACCAAATAATACCATAACTGTAATTCATCCCTACCTGGTGGGCAAATAAAGGCCAGTTCGGAAGCTACCAAAAACTTGCAGCTTGGCAGCAGGCCACAATTCTTTAATAAGCTTTTTCATTTTCAACACAACAACATTTCTTACTTCCCTTTCTTCTGAAGTTGGACTGATATACTTGTGAAAATCCTCAATTTCCTGATGAAGACTGCAACAATAAAATTAGTTACAATGCAATACACTAAAAAAGACCTGGAAGCAGCCAATGAATGAGAGGGAACAATGAATGGTATTCGAAAAATGGGGATGCCACCGAACTGTATCAAAATTCAACACGTGCGAATTGAACGAAGAGAAATACTAATCTACAGTATACAATAACTTGGTCTATCAAAGGAGCATAATATAAAGAAGGATTAAATGGCATGTGACTTTGAGGTTAAGTATTAAGAATTCATCGAAGATCACAGCCAAACATATTCTCAGAACAGAGGCACCCCGTGCAACGATACAAAACCAGTAGACAACATACCCAATGACTCCTCTGTCATATTTCGAGCGCAGTTCTCTCCACGGACATCCCCCGTGCTTCCCAATGAGGTTGGCATGGTCGCTGTTAAGGTTAAAGGTGCTGGCGCGGTTGTCCGTTTTCTTGCGGGGAGGGTGGTGTATGGGATTACTTCTGTCATCGTGGCAATTGCTGTCAATCGGGATAAACTCAGGGGCCTTGTTGTTGCTGTTGTTGTCCGTCATTGGGACGCAGCGAGCTTCTGCAATGCGAGACCACAATTGTCGAGCGGGACCCTCTTGCTCTGGTTGATACCAGCCGATCACGGGATCCATACCCCGCAATACGCCACGCTAAAGTCAGCCCCGGGCACCAAACCAGTATCCGACAACGTCCACTGGAGTGCCTGACACATGCGTGACGACGAGTCTATCTGTGCAAGGTATGGATAAAGGACCTAAAGCTACCCTTGCGTACAAACTCCTCTGAGACACACGCACTGCTTCGGGCTCGGGCGCCGCCGCTGCAACAACCGCAGCAGCAGCAGTAGCAGGTAGGTAGCAGACTAGTGCGCAGAAGCGGTGCGCTCGACAACGCCCCTACAAGGGGAATACAGGGGAATGCAGGAATGCGGGTACCGGCAAACGAGACCAAATACTCAGTGTGAAGGTAGTAGGGAGCGTACCTTCCATATCGCTTTCACAAATTCTAACAAGGAATCCCGGGTTGTCAAGAAAGGGGGTGACGGGGTGACAGCCGAAAAATTACATTTGAGCTTTTGTCCAATCGCTTCATTTGTCGGCACGTTGTAAAAGGGTTGTTAGCGTTCTTTCTATTACGGACGCTTCTTCCCATTAAAAATGTAACGTCACCTCCCTGCCAAAGTTGACTTTTTCCTAGCGATGGCGCGGTGAGTCTCGTAACGTTGCACACCCTGTACGTGAGTCTCGATTCGATTTCGATAGTTTTGTTTGTATTTGTTCAGTCAGATGTCAGATTTCGGTGGCAATGTCTGAGTCATTTGAAAGTTTTTAAACTGGCCGTTTTTAGCGCTTTTTAACTTGGTTCTCGACATTAATTTTGTTTGATGACAAAACTAGAGACATCTTATATTCCATGTCATACGTCGACTTCCATGCCATTCGTTCCAAGTCTTACTAAGTGCAATTTAATTCTCTTGTTATCATAGGTGTTCCTGGGGTTAGGTACGTGAAATGTTGAATTAATTTCTTCATTCATTAAAACCAATTGCTGTAACTTTATGTTTAATTTATTGTTACGAATTATTTGAAATAATCACATTTTTGCTATAGGTATATTCAGAAAAATTGTCTTGAATTACTTTATTACAACAGCAGGCAGTATGAATCATAGCACGGCTCCCTGGGGTGCTAACAGTGATGATGAGGATGAACTTGACGCTCGGGAACCATGGATGTGGGCTGGGAAAAGGGCCTTTATTTTCCTCATTGACGCCACTGAACCTATGTTTGAAAAAGATATCAATGACTCTTCACACTTTGAGAAGTGCATAAAGGTAGTACTGCATCTTTTCACTCCCTTTGTAAAGCGATCTTTTTTCTATTCATTTTTTTTTTTAAATTCTGATATCCTCTGTACAGGCCTGCACAGAGAATCTGTTGAAGAGTGTGCATCGCCAGGATAAAGATTTATTTGAAATAGTGCTCTTTGGCACAAGTCATGTTGGGCAAACTGCACAACCAAATCACATCACAACCTTGCTTCAAAGTCTTGATCAGTGTAATGCTGACAGAATCAAAGACCTCTTGGCCATTCTTGATGGTAATGCTTTTCTTGGTCTTGTACTAGCTAGTACTAGTAGTTTATAGACTACTATGCAGCAGCCAATGTGCTGAAGTGGTGCTAATTAAAACCTTTAATATATAAGGAACATAAGATAACAAAGTAAATTGATTTATTGCAGACATTGATGGATTTGAGAAGAAACATGGTCACTCAAATGATTACTCCTTAGCTGAAGCTTTCTGGCATTGCCTTAAAATCATCACAAATTGGTACTGACTTAGTGCTTTTATGCTTGTTTTACTTAACATTTCAGCTACCAATATATTATGAAATTTATACTCTAAGATTTGTAATAATTTTAATACTGATGTAAATTGTGTTTTTTTCTGTCGTTTTTTTTTTAGTACAACCACTATTTACGACAAAACCATCTTCTTAATGACTTGCAATGATAATCCACATCATTCAAACCCAAAGCTACAAAATGATACTCGACTCCGAGTCAGAGAAATAAAAAATCTTGATGTTGACTTAAAGATTATACCGTTTGGGCTTTCCTTTGATATGGACTTGTTTTACAATGTATTTTTCATAACTTGCTTTTTAAATCTTGTGTTTTTATAATAGTATCTCCAATAATTTTGCTATATATCTCCTTACAGGAAATCTACCAAATAACCCACAACGACCCAAATGATGATAATACAGAAGACACAATCATCAAATCAGTCATTGAAGTGGAGGATATTCTGGAATTTGTTGAGTGCCCACCTAAGAAACGGAGTACTTCAAGAGTCCTATGGTCGTTGGGAGGAGATGTCCAATTAGGAGTTGCTGCATACCGCTTTGTAAAGAGCACTGACCCTATACCAAGAAAAGTGAAAATAGAGAGATCAAAGAATGCCATTGTTACATCGCGAGTTCAAGCTTTTAATGCGGAAACAGGAGAGGAAGTTTCTAGTGCTCAGACTTCCAAAGCCATGAATGTTGGTGGGGAGACTGTAACATTTAGAAAAGAAGAGTTGAAAACATTGGTTGAGATTTCACATCCTGGTCTTATTCTACTTGGATTCAAACCAATGTACACAATTAAAACTTGGTTTCACTCTAAGAGTCCTGTATTTTTGTATCCTGAAGAGCGCTTAGTGAAAGGAAGCCGCACTTTATTTGCGGCTTTGCATGAAAAATGTTTAGCTAAGAAACTGGTAGCCATATGTTACTTCACAATGCGTAGGTCTGGCAAACCAACTCTTGTTGCCCTTGTGCCTCTAGCGGAAAAAGTTGAAGACAAAAACACTCAATATGTGCCTCCTGGATTTGTTGCAAGGTTCCTACCTTATGCTGGTAAGTAATACATTTTAACTTGTCCTTTTACTATTTAAAAATGTTTTGTGTATACTGTTAGATACCTGTGACCCAACGTTTCACTAAATTCGTATCTTTTTCAGATAACATTAGAGACCTTAAGGACCAAGCAGTAAAGTGCCCTCATCCTGATCCTGAGTTGGTTTCAGTGGCTGAACAAATTGTAAAGAAATTAAAATTTAAATATCAGCCCAAATCTTTTGACAATCCAAGACTTCAGAAACTTTGGGCAGGCATTGAAGCATTAGCTCTTGGATATGATGAGCCCAAAGAAACCGAGGATCTTACTTTACCTAATAATGAGGTTATGGATAAAAGGATTGACTCTTTGTCAGACGATTTCATGAGCATGGCATTTCCGCAAGGTTATAATTACAATGCAGTAAAAAAAACTTCAAAAGACACTGATCCATCAAAGCCTTCAGCTCCGAAAAAGGCAAAGATAGATTTGGAAAGTATGGACATGGAAGAAATAGCTAAGAAAGGATTTGTAAGTTGATCATTCTTGAATCATATATTTGTCTTATTTGAATTTTGGTTTGATAAATTTATTTTTAATGCTTTTTATGTAGGTGGAAAAACTAACTGCCGATAAACTTAAACAGTATTTAATGACGAATGGTTATAAAGTTTCTAAAATGAGGAAGGCAGAACTTGTTGAAGCTGTCTACAGTCATCTTGAGGTCGATCAACCATGATAAAACAACAACTAACACGTTGAGTCCCACGTGACCACACGTATGGTCACAAAGGCTGTGATTAATGACCCCCTGGGACTCAACGTCTCAATAGGTATCCTATTCTAAACTGGAGTCAGTCTGGAAATAAATGCAATAAGTCAACAAAAGAGATGCAATTTGGTAAAATCAATCTCAGACATTGTTTACTTGTAATACAGTCTTTATTAAAAATTGCACATTTCAAGTTTCCAAAATGAAAACAAAAACAAAAAATAGATAAAAGAAAAGAAAAATGGATGAAGGAAAAATCGATAGCTTGTACTTCAACCTTTTTCCAACAAACTTTTTAATAAAATTTTGTTTATTTTAATACAGGGGAGAATGACATCTGAATTAGCATTACTGCTTCTCACATATCTCAGGAAAACAGCAACATGAAAATTTAATACTGCTATCTGAATAATCATACATTTGACATTATTGCTGTGTGGTCCAAGGGAAATCCCATTAAATGTAATGATAACAGATGAAGTATCAACTTAGTCATTAATTAATGTTAAGAAGGTAGATGAAGTACAGCTCATACTTATAGTCTATTTTTTTGTAATATGGGCACAGTCACACGTTTGAAGACTACTCTGAATCCTTTGTTATATTGCTGTGTTGAGTTACAATTTTGAATGATCTTTGTTATAAAAAATGATTCTAAGTATACAGAAAGAATAATAGCACTTCCATCTGTGAAGCACTATTTTTGTTAGCTATTAATGCGATGCGATGACACATCATGTATCAATTGAATTTTTACTTGCATTATTAATCAGGTTTGTTTCTTTTGTTTACATCATGTGGAAACATATCTTGTGGATACTCATAATCTTACAAAAGGAAGCATTCTCTAGATTCAGATATCCTACAAGTTTTCACTTATTGAAATAAGTTGTGACATACCACATTGAGTAAAAAAATGTCATTCCATATTATTCACATTCTAGTCCTGGATGAAGACAGCTCCCACTGAAGGCAAGTAAATACATGAACATACAAGTACACTAACATGATTGATTTGTTTGGATTTTTTTTTACGTCTCTTATCTGACACACATGTTGTTCCAATTGTGTGTTACAGTTCTTTATGATGTGTTGAAGAACATTTCAAACAATCATTCTCTCTGCCAAACAATGTGTGTTGAAGAAGACTGCACATCAATTTAAATGAGGTATAGTTTTCTATCTTCCACCTTTTTGAAACAAGTTTGCCATCATCAGTTAGTGATATCTGAATCATCATTTAATTAGGAAAATCTTTTAAACAAATTTGTTATGGCCAGAAATTTTACTTGTTTCATTGACACCAAATTGCCTCAAGGTGTAGTCTACCTCGATTATGAGTTGAACTCTGTCCTGTGCATGCTTCTTAATCATTTAATCTATTGCAGTCTGGAGTGTTATCTGGATTATTGTACTAATTTGTTTCAAAATGAGACTCTTGCCTGATTATCATGGTTGTGTCTCCATCATATGTATGTGTATGTTTTGCACATGACAATGAGGGAATTTATTGTGTGCCTTATTATTAGACAGATGAAGACGGATGCTTATTTCTTACATTTGTGAATGAATTATACATATTCAAAAGAGTATGTCAGCAAAGAGCATGACCTTTCATCACAGTATCCATTCAAAGTGGCTTCTATAATTGACATGTGGAAAAGATTGACAACAGGCCACATGGAAGGGGACAACAAGCTCTTCTTCTCCAGTAATCCATGTTTATAAATTACATGCTATTACCAGGATCCACTTCATTGTCAACCCCAGGAGTATAACCACATTAATGTGGCGCAATAAGGGGACAATGTGGAGAAGAAAAACTGTTTTTAAATGAGACAAAACATGTGATTTACCACACTTTGATTTTTTGTTTTGTCTCATTTTGATGTCTGAAGGGGTTCATTGAGTTTTCGATCCTTTTTCATAGCCAACTCAACTACCATACTGAATGGCAGAAGAGTTGGCTAAGTCCAACAATTCTTAGCATGCACCTACTGGGAGCATTTTCCCCCCCTAAAAATCATGTTTTATCTAGAGCTATTTCAAGCCAGTTACATTAGTGCAATCAGCATGGTTTATTAATGATACAGTGGTTAGGAGCTAACTCAACTGATTAGATTGATAATTTTATGACTGAAAGAAATCATAATATAGACCAGACCATAACTACAGATTTTAGATTGAGTATCTACAGGCTGAGATCGGCAGATGCCACAACTCTCCTACTATCACAATTGCTTTTTCTATAGAAAATCTACAACATGCTGGTTCTGCCATACAAAGTGACATGGTTGTAGTGTACGTAGCCTAGGGATGGAATCATCTAACAACCTTATGTCACCCTGATTCTTCCGAGGAGCGTAGCTGTAAGCTGGAAAGTTAACTTTTGCTGTTTCCGTATGACCTGGAAAGTCAACAACCAACTATAGTAAATGCATGCCTCTATAAGCTTTACTCAGTGAAGCCTCTGACGGTGGAGTGCTTAACTTTTTCTCCCATGCTCCGCAACGGCTTTTTCTCTACATTAAAAGGAAAAATTGAGCCAATAGCACATATTAACTTGATCACAATGTCAAGCATTTAGTCAAGCCACTTTACTCCATGTATTTCGGGCTGTGCATGACGCTTTTGTGCCCTACTATGTGATTCATGCGTGCAGCTAGCTTTAGAAGACATTGCAAGCAACATTGTAAGGCCATAATGTAATTTCCAGATTCCACCATTAGAGATTGAGAAAGGACAGAAAGTTGCTTATTTGTATCATACTCATTGCAAATATTGTCTTTGAAATGCCTATCCATCTTGTTTTATCCCTCCCAAAATTTCAATAATTTCCAAAAGTTTAAGTTGTTAGAATGTTTTACTGATGTGATGTGTTATCTCCAGGATAACATCTATTCCTGTCAACTCTGTTAAATGTTACATCTTCCTACTTCACACCCATATTGGAACTTGAGCAGTTATGAAAAGCCATGAATTTGCTTTCATAATTTTATAATACTCTTGATATGAGCTACTTATATAAGAAAATTAATTATTGTTTTAAAAATTATGGAGCCCTCCCTCCCAGATAATATTAATATCAACAATAAATGGTTAACTACAACACTACCTACAGATCACAAAGAATGTAAAAGATTTTTTATTTGGCCTAAGTATGTAACTGACCTTCAATTAAAACCTTAATAAGAAATTTTCCCCAGAATAGATTATAAAAGCAATACTAAAAAAATTGAAAGAACTTTTAAATGAATTTGAAGAGAGTTTAAATGTCCTGGGTCTTGTTAGCTTATAAAATCCTAAATCTCAATTTTGGATTCCGTAATATTGTGTCAAATGTCACAAAGCTTGAAGCTTAAAATTCCCAATAGTTCTTGGCAACAGACTTCTTCTTCTTCATAGAAACTTTATCAGTTTCTAATATTGCCTCAAATGTAGGTACATTGTTATGTTGCTTAGTACTATACATGGATTAGATATTTTACATTGAGCCCACAGTTTCCCTTAAATTGAGGAGTGATATGTGTCCTGTACTTATATCTTTTTGAACGTACCTCATTTTCACAAGCTTTCCTTCAACCCTTCACATTTTTTTCCCAAGAGCGTTATAACCAAATGAGGCGAAGGGAAACAGTTAGCGTCTGACCTTATTTCCATCAATGTTTCCTTATTTTGCATTATTGCGAGGCATTGTAACAAGTTAAATTTCTAGTTAATTAGGACTAAAATGATAGTAATGGTGTTTTTAACAAAGAGGATCTCTTTTATCATAGAAGTCTAGAAACTGTGCAATTACTGTGTTATCAGTATTTGTGGTGGACAATATGTGGATATCCTTTATACACGTCAAAATTAATTCAACTCTTTTGTACTACATACCTCACAACTAAAGCAAAGACTTAAACTGATATTCAGATCATCATAACTGCTGTATTTTTTTATCTGACCAAATTTAATATCAATTTCCTATATTTGACCCAATAGTACGTTTCAGAACACAAGCAATAATATTAACTACAATATGCTCTAAAATATTGGAAAAAATCTACAGAATCAATAGAAACGATTTACTCCAAGGAACGCGCTCCTCTGCAGTGGATCTACAGGTGTCTTAGTGGAGTCGCTACTTTGGGGGAAGACTTGTATTTTCGCCCAGCGGGGCGTCCGAAAGCAGTACCAAACTGCGTTCCTGACTCTCGCATACGACACAACCAACACTGTTGAAAGTTATACTAAAATAACTTAATAAGCAATTTTGTAATTTTTTTATAAGGATCTTTGAAGATGATAACTTTGTGACAGATTTCAAAAATATTGAAAAAATTTTGAAAGTTTAAAAAAATGTTAACAGTGCACGTAGAAAGGCGAGTTTTGTATGGGAGGAGGGCAGGAAACTCGGGATGATTCGCGACAAATCTTCATCAGTTACTTTTTGCCATCACCTACATATCACAGCTCTTGCACTTAATACTAAAATCGTTTCTACCGCGCGGTGCGCGGGTCTAAGGCGCGATGCGAACCCCTAAGGTCATCTTGGCAAAGGGGAAACACCGAAACTATTGAAGCTTTCCCCTTAATCGTAATTTGGCAGTGAGAAAGAAAATATAGTTACTTTATTTCTGGACTTTCCTCGTTGGAATTAAAATTGCTTAAATTTTTGAGACATATTATGTAGCTTACCGGTTGCAGGTGAACTCGACAATCGGTTCAGCAAAATCAATTTTGAAAAGAGCCGTATGTTTGCCTTTTACTGGTAATTCGCATGACTCGGACCCGCGCGCCGCGGAACCGCGTGAAACCCAACCCTTTGCCTCCAAGGCGCAGAAAACAGCTCACTGGAGCAGCAACAACGTCAACAAAAGTAACAGAACGTATGCTACACTACGCCTCGCTACGCTACGCCACGCTACGCCACGCACTGCCATGCAAGGATTGCTGGAAGGACGGAGGCTAGGAGGACGGCCGGCCCTGCGGGACGGGTTGTCGGGGTGGCTGGGTTACACATGTCCTCTTCACAGAAACACATATGGCCTGTGCCGCTACTTTCCATCATACAAACGTGGTCCACCATGAAAAGATTAATTTGCAACTGTGATGTACAGGTCCTTCGCACCGTCTCGTACTCTTTTTTGTCGACGTGTATTTTTGTGTTTTCAGTGTTTTTGGAAGGTTTGGCGTGTTGGGGGTGTCATGAAACAAAAACATCAGGTGTGTTCAAGATGAAGACAGACAGACGGTGTTGGTGGTGCAGGGAGAGTGAGAAGTGCGAAACACGTACGACGTCGCCGGGGCAACGGATGGAGGGTCGGACGAACAGCGACACAGGTCAACCGGACAGCGGCGGACAGGCGCGGAACAGCGGCACGGCGACAGGTGAGGTAGCATCCACGACGGCCGCATAGCGGGGAGAGGGAACAGAACAGAACAAAAGCCGAGTGAGACCCTCTGCACAAGGCGAGCGCCCTCCACGGACCGGAGCTCCTTACCTTCGCGCACTCCTGTGGACGGCTCGGCCTACCCAGATGGGCGGGCCGAGGGTTTGTTAAGCATGCATGGTGGGAGCTTGGGCTAAGTTATTAGGGATCGTCCTGAAAGTACGTCGTCCATTTTTCTCAGATTCGTT